CCACTCTAAATTTTATTAAATTCACATGAAACCATACAATGTTATGATGCTGGAAAGAGCTATCAAAATATTACATAGCTTATAATAATAATTAAAAACCAGTAGTAGTTCAAGATAATGTATAAATAAAATATTAAAATATTTAAAATTAATCTTATCTTTGCTTTATTCAAATGACTTCAAAAGTACTTTACAGTCGACCCCCCTATAATTACGGTCCCTATAATTACGATTCCTATAAAACTACCAAAAAATATACGTATTTTGGAAATGTTGAGTCGGATTAGTCTAGAATCGATTAATTTTATGGAAGAAAACCTTTCAATCAGCCGTAGTCCGTAAACTTGACACGTGTCAGGCTATGATTGGAATGACTCGTAAGAAATTGGATTCCTAAAGAATGGAATGTATCTATATCTTATAGGGGGGGGTCGACTGTATTTGAATAAAACAAAATAATCCCTCAATAAACCTTTCTCAACCATCGATTCGTCAGTAAAAAATTCGTTAGAACGAATTTTTTACTGACGAATCGATGCTTGAGAGAGGACCCAGAGAGGGATCTGAAAATGTTTGCATGTAGTATTACTCATATTTACCACTGGTTAAAGATTTATTGAGGGATTATTTTACATTAATCCAGTGTGTGAAGATTCTTTATAAAACAAAATACTTAAGATTAGTTTAAATAGTTTATTTACATCATAAAAATTACACAAGATTAGTGATATTTTATTACTAATATTCAACCATTTCATGTGAATTTTTTTTACTTCATACATTACATCAGTGTTTCTCAAAACTTTATATTCATAGACCAGTTTTTTTTTTATTTCAATCCTCCCACAAATCAGTATTTTTGTGAATTTAAATAAAAAATAATTTTTAAATGGTTCACTGGTCACCCCTGGTCCTAAATGTTTAAATAATAAAGAAAAACAAAAATTACAAAATAACATGAACATACAAACATGAAAATTACAAAACATAAAACAGTCAAGCAGCTATAGGATCAAGTCTGTTTCTTTTCTTGTTATAAATCAAATTACACCAGGGATGTACTTGTAGTATTCAAATTTCTTTTTCAAATCCATTGACTATATATTTGAGATCTCAATTGATTACTTGATCTTATCTTATACTTATCTTGATTACTTTTTGATATTCAAGGATTTGAGTATTTAAAGATAGTAGTTTCCCATCTCTAATTTTTTTCACTATATTATAGTGAAAAAATTTTGTAGCATTTCATTTATATAACTACAAAGGTTATATATAAGACCTATAAATTTCCACTGTCTTTCCTTCCTTAATCTCAAGAACAGAGTTAGATAGATGAAAACAGAGACAAGATATGGAAAGATTAGGGGCAAGAAGACCCAATTAACTATATACAAACTTCTGATGCAAACCAAAAGTCACATTACTTCAATTAAAAAATTTTTCCCTGAAAGAAGTTAGATGACTGGCATGACTATTGCTAACAGAAAAAGTATGATGTACAGGGGCAAGACACTACTAATTTGAGATGGAGAACATATATTTTAAATTAATTTAATTAAAAAAATATGATTAAAAATTGCAGCCCAGCATCGTGACAATGTCACAATAAATAATTGTTCAATTTAAATTATTATATTCAATAGTATATAATATAGTAATGCATATTCAAAAGTATTAAATAAAAAAACCAAACTTTATTAAATATATTTAACCAATTAAATATTAGCAGTTATAAAATAATATAAAATTCAAGATAATAAAATTATGTATTCCATAATTTCCAACCCTCCATCTTTTGGGTTGAGAATCCACCTCTGAAAGCAGTTGCCAACCTGAGCTAGAAATTCTCTGCCTTTTTGAGATAACATAATACCATTAGTGCATTGTCTTCACAAATATGGATTTATGACCAGTACTAAAAATCTCAAGTTTACTTCAATGGCAGTTAGTTAGAAATTGTCTACTCTCAAACATTGGGTTCAACATTGCCAGATATATGAAAATTTCAATGGAAGCTTTAAAGTTTTGATTAAATTATGAATAATTAAATTTTTTTCTAAAAAAATTGTCTTGTCTCATACAAAATGTTTGTCTCAAAATGTGGTAGGTATATGAGATCATCTGCTCTTTGGTACAAGAAAGCCAATCTGAAAGTCTGGCAACATTAAGTATTTTCTCAACACCACCACCATATTGATGATAGAGTGTGTTAATACCTAGTGTTAATAATGGCCTAATGACCGAGCACTTAAAGCATCAGCCTACTATGTTGAAAAACCCAGGAATGAATCCAGATGGATCATAAACACCAGAAATTTTTAGGTAATGGTCTGTCCTGGATATATCAGGTTCCATCCCTCATCACCCAGCTGCCGCACTGTGGACATAGCTGAACCCAAGATTTAATAAAAAGGCCCTCTTAATGTCTACAGAGAAAAGAAAATCCAAACAATATTCTATGTTATCAATTCAGCTTTTGGCATAAATCTGGAATTTTTGGTTAGCTATTTGTTCTCTTTTTATATAAGATTTATTATGTACAGATGCATAATACAATGTATTATTACTCTAATTTCTACCTTTTTACTACTAGTCAGAAAAGCAAATATTATAGATCTATTATCATGATAAAGAGAATGAAAATTGAATAAATGCTTAAAATGCTGCACGTTTTGTCAGCAATCTTTCTATAAATTATTATTATTTATTTCTCAGTCTCTGCATTTCAAAATCAGACTTTCCTAGCTACAAGTCAGCCTCATCTATAATCTAAGATTGATAAGTATGGTATTCTGTAAAATCAATATTGATTTATTCATTGTCATTTGATTTTAAATGCTGATGTTGCCAAATATTTTTTGATTTCAACTCTAAACCAGAAACTGGGAAAATTCAAGAGAAACTGGAAACAATTAAAAATATAATAAATTATCNTAATGAAATAATAAAGTTATGTTTTACATTTATTATATAAAGCAATAATAAAAATCAATTCATTATAGATAATTTAACAAATATAAATTATTATTAAAAAAATGGGGGTCACAAAAAATTATGAAATATTTGGTGGACCGTAAGTATAAAAAGGTTAAGAACCACTGGCTTAGAACACTCAACCAATAAAAAGAATAGGAAATGAATGGAAAAGAGAATGACAGAGAATTGAGAGAGTTACATCACAACTGAAATCAGGAGCCATTGAACTGATCCTCAAATTGGAACATGAAGGATCCCAATGTAAAGTTGTGCCCTACAACACCTCTCAATAAGCTTCATCCTAGAGATAGCAGAGGTAATCTCCTTGCAACAAATAATTCTGAAGAACATTTGAAGAGGATTTGCCTGTTTATCATAACTTTCCCAGATTTTTGTATTCCCTTTGCATTCTCACTTATATATTTATATATATATATTTGACAAGTATTTAAAATTTTAAACTTTTGTCTTTTGAAAATATTTAGATAAATAAATAGAACTAATAAATAAAAATTTTCATTCAATATATTGTAAAGTAATTCTACTGTTATTACCTCAATCTAGATGTGAACATTCAACTTGAACTGACAATGAAGTTAGTGTAAACATAGCTAATGATAGAAACTCTTGCTGAAAGCTATGAGAGATGCACTGCACTAAAAATTAATTACTGATTTAAATTTTGATATTGCTACTGTATAATCTGGACACAAAATACTAAAGCTGTAACTAATTATAAGTAGAATATTTCAGCACTCATAGGACAAATGTGGATAAGGAACAAATCTAATATAAACTTATTTAGGAACAAAAACTCAAAAGGAGGTAGTGGAGAAAAACAGACAGTTTGCTTTTAAAGAGATAAGAGGGAGAAGGTAGAAAGAACAATGCACTCTCTATGCTATTTATAAAATACTTCAGAGTATGTGCATTGTAATCAATCAACAATTGGGCATTTGTTACAAAGGAGACATGAACTTCACAACATTGAAAGCAAAAATGGATCAGGAAGTAAATGCATAAGTATGCCAGGCTAGAATAGAATGCTGAAGCATTTCAGCCTGCAAGAACATCTTACTAGTTCTTTTAAACAAAGTAGTGGGAAGAGTAGACAAGCATAAAAGTGAATGCACAAGTGGTGCTATGTCACCTGTGCAAAATGGGTTTAAAAGCCTTGTAAAAAGTCCATGTAAAAAGTCATTACTGATGAGTAAAATGCACAGATAGCAGTTTATCTGAGCTATTAACAGAATTTGTGAAACTGTAGTGTGAAATGGCACTTACGTTCAATGTAGCAAAATTATATATAAGAAATGTGCATTTATTTTTTATTCTTCTTTGTTCTTCTCTGTATTATGTATGTTATCTTTACAAGTTGCAGTCACAGCTATTTTCACATCTCAAACAGTTTTGGTATATATCATAGGAGATGCAATTCCCATGGCAATTTAGCATTTGAACAATACACATAATTTTAAATTTGCATCTTATTTGTGCTATTATTTATCTCAAAAATATTCATTGGGTTAATTTTCATCACTTGACTTATAAGTCAGATGATGAAAATTATAATCACCACAAATAAATTAGTTAAATTTTCAAACTAGCATTCTAAGACTAATTAAATAATTAAATATATTTTTAGATGTTTACCAAGATTTTGTTAAAAATATTGAGAAATAACAAATACAGGATGGAGAATTAAAATTGTGAAATGGTAAAATTAAAATGCTATGATGTATCTATGTACAAACATTTATTTATGTATACAGGTATGTAAGAATTAAGTTTAAAAATCATTTTATTATACTGCAACTGCTGTTTTATTATCAATTATTGTCTTTTATTAATATTAATTTTATAAAATTTATTATGAAAATGGAATTTTGCATATATTATATCATGTGATTTGTTATTTATGTTGAATTTATATTGTATTGTATTTTGAAAGTAAGTAAATGATGATAACTATTAAGGATTATTATGTAAGTAAATTAAATACTACATTGTAGTTTTCATACCTGCTGAAATAGCAGCTTCACGAGCAGCAACTTTATCTCCCATTTTTTTTACAACATTAGGAGATGGCCCAATAAATTTAATTCCTGCATTGATACATGCTTCAGCAAAATCTGATCTTTCTGATAAAAATCCATAACCAGGATGAATAGCATCAACATCATTCTCCTATTGTCAAAATAGGATTCTTATTCGATTAAACTGTATAAAAACACAAAGAGAATAAAATAAAAGTTTCTAAACTTACTTTTGCAATTTTTATTATTTCAGGAATGTTTAAATAAGCTTGAACAGGTGGCAATCCTTTACCAATAAGATATGCTTCATCAGCTTTCTGTCGATGCATATGCATTTTGTCTTGTTCTGAATACACAGCAACTGAACGAATCCCTAATTCTGCACATGCTCTAAATACTCTTATTGATATTTCTCCTGTAAAAATAATTTTTAACTTTCTGAATAAAACTTTTGTCTTGTTCTGAATACACAGCAACTGAACGAATCCCTAATTCTGCACATGCTCTAAATACTCTTATTGATATTTCTACTGTAAAAATAATTTTTAACTGTAAATATTCCAACCCATTAATTTTATATTTACAGCGAAGTATTTCGATCTCACAAATGGTATATTTTATTACTTTTTAACACACATCTCAATGCAAATGAAAGCTTTTAATAGAAAAGTAGATAATAAAGATGATAAATGTTATAGTTGAATTATTTATTTTCTTCCAAGTAATCCAAATAAATATTTTAATCTCTATTAGTATATTTATACTCGTATTTGCTATCACTATAATTATTAACAGTATCACTTTCCATTTTCTAATATAACTAAAATATTGAATTTTAAAACTTTATATTTAACACAAAATAAGTTTGATAGCATTGTTCATAGGTACAAATAGACAATCGGAAATTAAACGGCTGAATAAAGAGGGAATACCAAGGAGTGTTGATTACATCCGAGGAAAATGGATTGTGGTCGTTTTCTTCCAGTTCAAAATGACTTATGATTGTTCTTTGTCATTACAGTACTAATTCTGGGTTTAATAAATAATGAAATATGGCTATTTTTCTCAGGTATGAGATATTTATACATAATCTCATAGAGAACACACAAGAATCCCATAAATTCAAAAATCAGCTAAAATTATACTATGGTCATTTTCCCCTATTTCCGTCAAGAATTTACAAAGTCCCTACGAATCAGTTAATTTCATATATCATAAATTGTATTTTAAAAATACCTCATTTCCAACCAAATCGTAAATATTTTACAAAATATAAAGTTTTATTATTGTTTAATTATTATGGTTGAAGATAAACATCAATATTTCTTATTGTAAAGAATCATTTTTGAATACTTGCAAAATTGTAAATGTAAAATACCGTATTTTGACAAGTATAAGTCGCTGTCAAGTATAAGACGCACCCCTATTTTGAGACAAAAAATTTAGAAAAACACTGTTTTAATGGGATTGTCTAAAGATACATTTTATTCGTTTTTTTATTCAAGAATATGACGGATGGATGAATCGATACTTTTATTAAACTGAAATAATCGTCATTTCTTAATGTAAACTCGGAGGTCACGTGATGACAGTCGACGGAACATGGCGGCGATGACTCGTGTGTCGCTACTCTGGTAATCTAGATACTCTAGCCATTCGGTCGAGGGACCATATGCTTAACTGACCACTGCACAGGTTGGTCCCTAGAGTGGCCCACTACTGTAGGTAATTTCACTGTAAAAATGGTTACCTGTCGAGTATAAGACGCACCATGATTTTGAGCCCCAAAAAGTAGTAAAAAAAGTGCGACTTATACTCGTCAAAATACGGTATATATTTTAATTTTAATTAATTTCAATTTCTCACTTTATAAAATCTCAGAATATCGTTTATAATTAAAAATTTTAATTAAACATTTAACTGTCACGAATAAACTAAGAAAAAACACTCATATCATATGGCTAAATGTAATGTTATTTTTTATACTGTGTACATATTGTCTAAAATTGTTTTTAATTTTCTTGCTTGCATCTCATGATCAATTTTTAATCTGAAATTTTTATTTTACTTTTATGGAATTTTTATAAAGCAAAACCATTTTTCAACTGACAAATTTACTATTTTGTTCAAACGACGTTCAGCATAAAAAAACATGTTTTGTCAGTTTTTTATGATGTATGGATTTCGCAAGTCTGGGAATTCCCCGAGTGGACATCCATTACGCAAACAAAAATTTTTCTCTTCAATTTCCAATCGACTAAATCCAGTAATAATGAAAATATAAATATTCTTATTCTGGAATCAGTTTATCAATAAGAAGATCACGTTATTTGCAATGTAAGTAATTTTTTAAATTCAATAATGTCAAAGCGTGAGATGCATTATATTTTTCATATATACTTGCATTTCATTAAAAAAAGTTAATAATATAAGATGAAGTTNATAACAAAATGATAAAATTTATATCATAATTGTATATAGCATATTGTGAGTTGGTCATATCTATATCTACAATTACCTTCAAAATGTATTATAATAATTTGAAATTTGAATATAATTTATGTAAATAAGAAAAAACGTTAAATGAAAATAATCCTAATTTTAATTTCAATTTTATTAGTATATATTGTGAAATGTCTTAATATCATTGAATAATCAATTATAAATTTTACAGTCATTTATGAATATTAATAATAAAGAACAATACAATAATAATAAATCTCTAATTTAATATAATATATTAACATTAAATTTTAACATAAAAAGTTGCACTTCATATTATGAAGTGCAACTTTTTATGTTAAAATTTTTTAATAAAGGACATTCTACTTTAAACTTACAGAACAAACATTAAAATTTTATATTATTTCGGTTTATTAACTATAGTCATATTAAAATAATTTATTAAAAATTATATATTTTATATAAAATAATAATGTAATATAAATCTAAACCAATTAGAACAACATACATTTTATTATTTTTTTTAATACACTAGCTTGGTAAATATATCTGAGAAAAGAAATATTCCTATTATCTATTTTTAAAATAGTTTTTTAAAGATTCATGTGAATTAAAAGATTCGCTTTCTATAAAATTTCTATTATAAATATTTTGAAATTTATAATTTACCTTTAAGTTTATAAACAGAATTATTAAAACTTACAAAATAAAGAATAAATATACCTAAAATATAGATTTCCATAAATAAACAAAATTAATTATTTATAGAATATTTGAATAACTATAAACACAAAAATTAATTTCTATATAAATGTTAAAAATATGATTTACTAAAATATGATATAAAAAATAAATATAAGTTAATTACAATTTAAGAATTTATTGCTTATAAAGTTAATTCAAAAGAAAGTGATTTATCTTGTAACTACAATGAATCAATTTCAACTAAAAGTATGCAGATAACATGTAGGCAAAGATATTGATTAAATCTATCAGCCACATAAATTTTTTAATATAACTAACATTAAAGCTTTGCAATGCTTTATTAATTAATAATATTAAATATACAAAAATTTAACCTTATAACAAATATTTAATATAATATATAAAGACAAATTTAATAAAGATTGTATTCTTAACAAACACAACACTGATAAAGGTTTTTTGTGGACAGTTATTACTCAACACAGTGTTACAGTTAGAAGACATTTGTGTTAATATGGATTGCTATTTTGATAAGAAAATACTATAGCCATGATAGAACTAATACACAACTTTCCTTTTTCATTATAATAATTATATAGGCTTATTATTAAATCTACAATTTAAAAAAGAAAATAAATCAACTTTGATGTATTTTCCTTTTTAGAAATATAATTCCATAGACTAAATATCCTGAATAAAAAGATAAAGAGTAAAAAAAAAAATTTTTAAATCTAGAAAATTAACAAAGAATAAATCAAAAACTGAACATCAAAAAATTATTTAAAATCCTTTAAAGGAGAAATTGTTTTTTTTTATAAATATAAAAGATATTAAAACTTTTATTATACCTTGTACTCTAATCTTATATGTAAATTTTTAAATATCTTTTTCCTAAAATGGAAAAAAATATTTATTTATTTTACAAATAACTTAAAATGTTTATCAAAATTATTCTACAATAAAAAATATTTTAGAATGTCGCTTATGTTACTTACTTCTGCATATATACATACATACACACAAATTCTTAAATTTCGTATACAGTAAAAAAACACTTGATATTTCTAATTTAAAAAGTAACCCAGTTTTTCAATCCACTGTTTAATATCAAAATTTATTTACGATAAATTATCTAATTTAACGGAGAAGTCTTATCATTCGATAAATCATTCCTTCTCTCAAAAACATCTTACAGTCTCCTCCGATGTTTAATTTTCTTTAATATAGAAAAGTTAGCAAATTCCAACCAAATCAAAACAAAAAAAAATTATTAAAAAACTCAATTTCATCATATCATTTGCAGAAAATACAGTACTCAACACATGAATTTTGTATTTATTTTCAAGATATAAATGTAAATTGAAAAAAAATCAGCTCAAAAATTAAATATTTTAATTGCAAATTTTATATTTTTATTAGAGCAAAGCTTAAAAAAAATATATATTAAAAAAAAATTAAAGGGAGCAAAACAGGATAAATGTTTTTTTCTGTATTAAGAATATTTTTTTCCTTATATTTGTTTTGTAATCATTTTTTTTTACTTTCCTTATGATCTATTTCCTGTAGTTATTTACATTTAGAAAAAAAGTTATACATTTTTAAGTACACAGTTATTTAAATGTCCAAACATAAGTAATATTTTCAATTAATTAAAGTATAAAATTTTAAATATATAAGAACAATTAGTTTTATGCTTACCAAACGATCATGTGGTAGATCAGAAGGTTCGAATTAAATTCTGCCAAGAAATAAAAAGGTAAAAAATTATTAAATGAGCCAAAATATTGCGAGTTGCTTCGTAGAATGGGATAAACGAACGAGCTCTTCCGTAGCAGAACGAATTCTGCGATCCTCTAGTTTGTAACACACGTGACGTGACGTCACGTTACGTAGGCGAACGCGTATTTAATAATAATAATAACATCGGCTGATAAATCACTCTTACATCACATTACGTGACGAGTATTGTTAAAATAAAAATTTCTTTTATTAACAAATAGTTATATAAATCAATATAATCTTATTGTTTAACAAGAAAAAAAAAGAAATACTTATAATAAAAAATAAATAATATATGAATTTTTTCCCTTTTCGACACAGATGGCGTTCTGATAGTTACATCGTTAATTATTCTATTACAGTACACTTTATTTAATTTGTGATAGTGTTTAAAATAATCTTTTACTTTAAACAAATTAATTATATTTAAAAATATATTTAATTTGGAATAATAAAACTTATAATTTTTTTTTCA